ACTGCCTTTCATTGCTAGATTGATAATTCAGGCTGCCTAGGAAAAAAAAAAATAGTGAGCTTTAAAATCTAACAGGAAAGGACGCGTCCATACACAAAATTACGAGTTTTAACGAATGATAAGTAATCTTCCGCTAGTGAAATATTGAATTATTCATGAAGATTTAAGAGATAATTACCGAAATTTCTTTTAAAAATATTTTTTTTCCAATATTATTTTTTGAAATATCTATAAAACTTTGAAAGAAACTTTTAGTACCAAAAAACACACGTATCTGATTCTCACTACTATTTATTTTTATGGTTTTTGTATGATTTATTATTATTGGAAATAGAGATTTTGTATCTAATTTATGAGAACACCTAAATAGAAAAATATAAAACTTGAACACTAAATTTATAATAAACACAGTTTGTGAAAAACTCTAGTAGAGTTCTCATAGATTTCTCCAAGATTACACAGTCCTTCCTTGCTGTTTCTCACTAGGCTTTAAAATACAATCAAATCTATATACATGATGTTTCCTCAGGATCCTATCTAGGGTAGCCGCAACATCATCCGACCTTGACCTTTCAGGTGCGTAATCGCATAGATTAATTTTCTTGATGTTCCTGGGGGCATTCTCAGTGCCTACGAAAATGACATGGTGTATAATTGTATTGAGGAAAACAAAGTAGATACATACAAATACAAATATCACACCAATTATTTGCACACATGATCATAATTTAAATATTATCCCAAAACCACGCTCTAATTCTGATTCAACGTGTTCAATAAAGCCCTTACAGTGCTTTGGACGAGAAAAGCACATAGCGTTTTATGTTTCTTATAATTCTTTTTCCATGATTCAAAAGCTTTATTTTCAACTCTTTTTTACTTATTTTACACGCGCACGGCTTGTACAAAGAAAAGGTAGCATAACTTCATGAACAGCATAAGATTTGTTTTAGATGGAGATGTGAACTTTCTTAGGGTGGCTACTAGCTGTACTTGGTGAGTCATTATGGTACTTTCCGCTACTTTTTTTTTGAATTGATAAGGAATTTAATCTAAAACACCATAAGTTAAGAACAAAGGAAAGATAGTATTGTGTCCTAATTATAATGCCTTGGATGCTAAAGCGAAAGATAAATACATATCGGAAGGCAAGATAAATACATCGGAGGACGAAGGCATGCGCACATCGGAGGGCAAAGATATTTTGGAGGGCAAGTGCACACTAGAGAGCTGGAGGGCGTACGTACTCATCTCGTCAGCACCTTCGGAGATGATCCGCGGGCAAATGCTTGAATGTCGAGAACAATGACAAGACTTGAGTTTAGAGGATGGTGATGATACTTGAGCTTGGAGGACGACAGCAATACTTTCGAAGATATCATGCCATTGGGACAAAAAAAACTTCAGAAAGGGATCAGAGTATGAGTGGCAATAATAATTTTGAACAGATGGGTAATGTAATGGGAGTAAACGGGATATTCCTCAAATGATTGATAAATTTGTGGACCGCCCTGAAGGAATATGCCTTAGAAGACACTAATCCATAAGAAGATATTATATTAGAGAGGAGGTAGAGTGTGGGTATTAGTGAGATAAGTATGATATTTATCACAGAATTTGGATAACATTCAGCCATTGGGGTGTTGTCATGTGTCTTGATGGATGACGGTTGGATTGATATCACTCGTTCAGACGAGTATTTACAACAGCCAATTGTTGGGATGTTGTCGAAGCGCCCTAGTTAATGATGGTTGGTTTCGCATTATATGTATCCATGAAGACACGTAGTTATACACTTTCACTTGCTAAAAAACGGTCAATAATGCATAGATCATCGATCTTGACAATTCTGACTTGAATTCACCTTGCCGAATGTTCAATGTTTTTTTAAATTGTTTTTCATATGTTTTTTTTATGATTTTGATAAAAATAAAAAAAATTATTTTAATACATTTTCAATTAAAAATCTATATATTACATTAACAAACATAATCATACACTTGGTCACGAGTCCAGAATCCAACCCAAGACGAGCTTGGCACTATCCACGATGCCTTAATTGCCACCAGATATTTGATATTATTGATTCATTGTGAAGAGAGCAAAATATTGGGTCACCTGATGCAATTGCCTTTGTAACTTAGTTTTCTACTTTTACCAAATTAAAATGAGATCACATTGATGTAGTCTGAGAGATGAAGCATAAACAATAGTCATTTTCATGGAACTCAAAGGAAATTCTGCAAGATTGCTCTCAAGTTCTGACTTCCGAGCATGTATTATAAGCAAGAAAATGCAAGTGTTTTCAAGGTTGCAATGGTATTCAACAAGAAAAAGAAAAGGTAAAAGTAGAAAACACATTGGAGCATGTGGAAATCACAAGGAAAGCCAAAATTATTACCAACAGAAAGGACATGTAATTCAAAATCTCTGATTTTTAGGACATGAAATATTAAAACAATGATCATGTAGCCTAAAGAGAGGGAGTAGAGTTTGTGTGAGTATTTACTTATTTAAACTGTTAACTTGGTCGAAGAACAGGAGCTGCTTCAATTATTTGTAGATTATTGCAGTTAAACAGTAACTTACAGTATCTTAGCTACAAGACTTGTAAAATGCAGTCTCAAAATAGTTCATGAACGTGTTTTCAATAACTAATTATGGAAAATTGGGATATAAACTAAAGAAATTCCAATCCAATATTGAAAACTAAAGAACAAATGTGATGGAATTTAGTAGGGAGCAAAAAATAAGAACTTTATGACAAAAAAACAAAGCAATCTTACCCGTATCAAACATTGAAGTTGTGTTTGGTTAGTGTCTCGAGATAAATCTTAAAAAAAAATATACAGAAAAGATAAAAGCATATTTAATTGAAGATATAAAAACGAAAATATAAAATAAATCTATTTATAAAACAATTACAAAATAAGTTTATATACTTTCCAAATAAAAAATATAAATCAACATGTCTTCTAATCACAGAAGAGTAAACAAACACATAAAACAGCGTAACTTCAATAAGAAAATTACGTGATAAGACCATGATTATATGAGCTTACATTCTGCTATACTAATTCTCTCTTTCTGACATGGGAGAACTAGCTAGAGGGACAACTCTACTTGAAGAACTTGATCATATGTTTCCACAAGGAGATGAGAGTAGTCTACAAAGGGAAACATGGTAAAACGTAATCTTGAAAATTAATTGCGAACTTAACATCTAAAGACCAATAATAGATTGTTTAGATTAATTTGTTAAAAGAAACATCTTGAATCACAATACGGGAAATAAAACTCATACATAACAAAACAACAGTTCGTAAATCAGTGAACCTAAATTTTCCCTTCTGTACTGCCTTGTTTCAGATTCATAAAGAAGAAGAGTAGATGAGAGGATTCAAACCTTGGGCATGGAATATGAGAACCAATGATTAAGACAGCGATGGAGGCACACAGATCTCTATAATCTTGAAATGGCTGAGTTATCACTGTCATGGATTGTGAAGAGAAAAGGAGAATAAATTGCCAAATCTCTTAGGTTGCTATTATTGAAAGAGGTGAAAAAATAGGTGTGACTGAATAAGTCTGCAAAAAAGTAGGACTACAAGGCGAGGGTCCAAATTGCAAGATAAGATGGTCCACCAACAAGATTGGTGAGTACAGAGATCTAATGCCGAAGCCTACACAACCATGGCAGTAAGAATATGACCTGTTCCCACCATGTTTTCGCATACCAAAGTTCTCAAAACTGTTAATAATTTTCAAGGATCTACTGATTCCACAGAAAAAACCATTTGGAAGAATGTCCATAAAATAATCAAAGAGCATTTTTAATCATTTCCAGTGAAGACAAAGATTGTGGGATGGAGAACACTCTGAAACTCAAGCTAAGCTATTTTAGCTGATATAATAAAAAAAAAACCCCATAAATAACAAAATCTGATAAAAACTACACACTTTATTTTTTCTTATCCTTACCAATGTGATCAGCTTCTGCTTCAATGCTCTACTTTCTGTCTTATGAGACTCCAATGAACAATGTCTATCTTCCAAGGAAAGAAAGAACCTCCACATACATAATCGTTGCTTTGCCTTTGTGTAAAAATGAGAATCGAAAACCACCCAAAACAATCATTCTTTGAAACAAATCAAAGATCTGTAACGGATCTCAAATCAAACACCCAGAAATGGAAACAGTAAGGGGTCTAATAAATTCACCTATTTAATCTCAATATTTTATTAGCTCGTATCGTATCATCAACACAATCAAGGGTATCAACACTCTCTCTCTCCCTCCCCCTCCCTCCCTCACCTTTCTTGCTTATTAACAAAGTTACCTATCACATCTGCAACACATAAAAGATACCATTTGCATCCCCTGAATATTTTCCTCGGAGGGAATAATCACAGATCTGCTAAAGTCAGCAAAACGAAGGGTGTCCTTCCTTTTCCTTCTCCGCAAGCTGAAACGAAAATCCAAACTTAGGGAATCCACCATAAAATAGAAATATAAACACTACTAAATGTACTCACCTGACAGTAACAGAAAGCAAAGTAGAAAGAAAAAAGAATCACCTTTAATTTGCTGTTGGTCAGCAGGAGCAAAGTGTCACTCACAAACTGTGTTTTTTCTTTTCCAAGTCCTTTTGTGTTGTATAGTCGTTTATTGCCGATGCAGCATCATCAAGATTCTCACTACCAAAGAACTTTGGCAGATAAACAGAAACAAAGAAAGATTTAACTCTAACATCACAGGCCGTGCATTTTGCATGTGAATCTTGATGATGCTCCACCCGCAAACAACGATTGTCAATATTTCCATGCACAAGAACCCCTTTAGCCTTCAATTCCATGCCCCATCTTTTTACCTCCTCTCTACAAGGTTTCAAGATTGAAATTAAGCAAACAAATAATATATACTAGCAAATTCTTGTAAAGAAAAAAATTGAGAAACACAGAGAAATATTGGACAGCACATAAGCATAGCACACCAACAAACCCACGAGCAAGGAGCTGATGTGGCATGTTGCCATTGGTTAAGGCCAAAAGGGAATACGTGAAGGGGATGCCCGAGAAAGAATCCTACAACCTTGTTTACCTCAGAACTTTATAACAAGACAGTACCCTTTTTCAACATTAAAAATATAATAGTATTTTTTTTATATCAGATGAGAAGAAAGAAGGAAAGAAAGAAAATCTAATAAATGGAATCAAGAACTAACGCGCTTTAGTACTTTGGGAAATCATAGATTTTTAGTTAAGTGGATCAGATTTATTTATCCGGCAAGATTCTGACAAAAACACACTCCCTCTGGTTGTGTGTGGTGAGACTAACATATAGCAAGTACCACCTCATGACAGATTCCGGCCAAGATCACATAAAAAGAAAAAGAACCCATTTGGTTTTTTCACTTCTTTTAGCTACATCAGCTCATCAAACCTTTATAAGAATATTATTTCAAAAAAAAGAAAAAGAAAAAAACTAGAATGAAAGGAAGACTGTAAGCTAGGTTGAGAGAGAGAGAGAGAGAAGAGGACTCAGGAGGATAGCAACAGTGGAGGGACCGATTGAGACGTGCATATATACACAGATGAGGGCTGGAACTTTATTATTTTGTTATTGTAAATGGTATTTTCTTTTTCATTTTTATTACTTTTTGTGTTTTTACTATATTTATAGGTTTTGATTGGTAGATGCTGAGCTGTATAGTACTGTACCAGTATTGCTGCAGTTACCCATCGCCATCTTCCCCAAACCCTAATAGAACTTTTTGGAGTGCTGTTACAATGAAGTCGACCCCGTGCCTTTACCGTGCGCTCCCCCTGCTGCTTCTTTTTGCAAACTTTTAAAAGTAATTTTATGAGTTTATTTTGAAAAAAAAAAGAATAAAGAGAAAAGAGAAAAATACATTTGAATTTATAAAAATGATAAGAAGATATTTTAATTTTTGATAAAAAAAAATATATTTTTACAATTATCTATTCTCTTTATATTTAGCTCTTTAAAATATTCTAAATTTTAGAGTTATTGTTCTTAAAATGTTTGGATTTAGTGTTCTTTTACTACATGTTTTGCGTTATCGTGTATTTGAAATAAAAGTGCATGCTTTTATTGATTTTTATTTTAAATTAAATAGTGTTTTATTAAGATTTGTTTTTCATCTAGAAACACATGTTCCTGTTTAAAAAAATGTTTTACTTTAGGATGAATATGAGCTTTTAACCTAAAGCAAATACAATTTATTATAAAATTCACTATTTTATTTGATAAAAAAATTAATTTTTAAAATCACAATGCCAAATTATAATACATTACTTTTACTAGTGCTATTTTGAATTATAGCGCAGTTTAGCGCAAAGAAATACAACTTTGTATTAAAAAGTTAATTTAACCGTGTTTGGATTAAGAAAGTATTAATTTTTTTAGATATTTTGATATGATTTTATTAATATATTAAGGTATAAATCAAAAACAAAAACATATAAAATAATATTTAATAGAATTGTTTTTAGTGCCAAGCAATTTTTATAAAAATATTGACACAACAACATCATAAAATTTTATGGAATAAAATCACTACCACAAAACTCTAATTTTATTAAATTATAAGTTAAATAACTCTATTTATACTAATTTAGTTTAGTTTAAAAAATATATTGTAATTATTACTGATGCACTAGGAAAAAAGGTAATTTTTTTTTTAAATCCTCAAACATCATAGACCCTATATATATATATATATATTTCAATTCTTTCATGACGAAAATCGAATTCATAGTTGAAGGTTTTAGGTCATGTGTCTCCCGTTCAATTTTGATTTTATTCAAATAAAAGCTTGCGGAATATATACACATGACCTAAAACCTGTGACTACGAATTCGATTTTGTCATGAAAGAATTGAAATATTTAATTAAAGACGGACCGATTAGAATTCGATTAATCCAGGTTAGAGGAGGAAGAAGAGAAGCAGACTTTCATTACTCATCAAGAAATGTTTGTGTGGAAGAGAGTAATTAACATGCAGAACTATATATTATATTTTTAACTTGTTCGTGGCTGTCACAGTTTGATCTAAATTGATCTGATAATAACTTCTTCTTTTTTCTTTCTCAAAATAAATAAATATAAAGTTTTATTTTTTATTAAATTATATTATATAATCAGTGATAGTTTTGCCTTTCCAAAACGTTTACTAATATGGACAAATTAACATATGGTCATCCATTATTACTTTTTATTTGACAATATCAATTTGTATAAACAATCTTAATAAAGTCGCATTTCTAGCATTTGTCTAATGTATTTCAAAACATTTATTAAATTATCTTATATTTTAGTTTCAAGATTCAATTCTACAAAATAAAAAACGGAAGTATACTTATTTAATTATAAGTTCAATTTCTTAAAGTTAACGATAATTAATTATTGATTGAAGAAACTCATCATGCTGAGTTGGCATACTTGGACATGGTATAATTTCTCCTGTTTTAATAGGTAAAGGAGCTGTATACCTTTTTATTTTTATTTTTATTTTATTTTTTTTTGTGCGAAATATTAGCTGTAATATTTATTTACATCTTAAGAAGAAAGGATAAGCCTTTACCCAAACGTTTTATATATGGAAAAGAAATTTCACTTTTTATGGCACCCAACTTTAGACCTGCATCTGTCGTTTCATTCCAATAATTACAATCATGGTTCACAATGGTTCAAAATCTATTTTGATAAAAGAAAATAATAATGAAGAAAGAAAAGAAGCTTTTTTTATTGGCCACTTAGTGATTGGTTCACACTTCGTTACACGTCAAAATATATATTTTAAAACATATAAAAATATTGTTAATGTATTTTGTATTTATAAGTAAAATTTTGATTGTAGATTCAACATTTAATTTATACATAATATTTTTTTTAATTATTAAGATAATTATATATTTGAGCATCTCGGGCCAAACCAAACTATTTTGTCAAACATGCAACTCAAATCGAAAAGAAATACAAGCACAAAAATCATTAAAATATTTATTTCATTATGATTAAAAAGGTATTATTCAGATACTACATATTGTTATCTATTTTTAGGTCCTACATATACAAAAAATCATAAAATACAAAAAAATTTAAAAAAAATGTCGGAGGAAAATAAAAAATATATCAGTGAGCAGAATTTATCAGAACACCCAAAAAATTGTCTAAGACTGGTTAAGGAAGATCAAAACATAAAAGATTAGAAAATTTGACAATGTATTTTTTATTGATGAAAGCTCTAATGGTAAAGAAAAATTTAATTTGAGGAAGAAAATTCAAAATTAGATGTTTAAGAACTCAATTGAAATTTTTCAAGGTCTAATTGAATTTATTGAGAATTAAATTACAAGAAAATTTGATTTTATAAAGTTAATTTAGGCTTTAATTAGATGAAATAAAAGTTTGGGAGTCGAATTGTAATTTTTAAGATTTAATATGGTTAAATTTGGGGCTTAATTGTATAAATATTAAAGTTTGATGGGTAATTAGAGACTTAATTAAAGAAATCCAAAACCAATGAACTATTAAAGTTTGATGGGTAATTAAAGACTTGATTAAAGAAATCCAAAACCAATGAATAAACTAAAAAGAACGGGTGAATGTAAGGGTTCAAATTGATCAAAATAAAAGCTAAATTGAAGAAATTAAAAATTTATTTGTCAATTAACATAGTTTTAAAACCCAGCCCGGCCCGGCGGGTTAACCCGGGGCTGGAACCGGGCCGGGTTGATGAAAAAATAAGGTAAGCCATGACCTAGTGTGACCCGGACGACCCGGCGGGATGACCCAGAAACCCGGGCGACCAGGCAAAACCCGGTTGCAACCCGCTTGCTTTTTTTTTTTTTCTAAAACCACGCCGTTTTAATTTTTTTTTAAAAAAAATAAAAATTGACCCGGCCGACCCGGTCAAAACCCGGTGACCCGGTCAACCCCCGGAACCCGGGCCTTGGACCGGGCCGGGTTTAAAAACTATGTCAATTAAGGGTTGAAATGTACAAATTTAGAACCAATAACTAAAATGAAAATAATGGTCAACTTTGGGGTTAGCAATTGAGTTTGGAAATAGTGAAATTGCATGAAATTAAATGTTTTAAAGCAATTATGAATACAATTAGAAGAATACAGATTCGATTGAAATTTGCCAAATCTCAAATTAAGAACCTTAAATAACATGTTGGCAACTTTCATCAACTTGCACTTATGTTTTGAGAGTTTTAGTTGATTGAGTTGGCAACTTTAAATACATGAATGTTGAATTATAGACCTTAGATGACAATGATGTAAGAATTGCTTTAATAAGGCCTAAAAAATGGGGAACTCAATCAGCCCTGATAATGCAACTATCATGCAAAAATCAATTTAGATTTTGTGTATTCATATATAAAGGCTTCTCAATGGGTTATTATCAATATTTTACAACACTTCCCTCAACATTAAAAAGTTAGAAATAGATTCAAAGGCTTCTTAAAACCCTATAAATACCACTCTCAATATTAAAAAAAAAAGTTGAAAAAAAGAAAGAAAGAAGAAAAAAAATTGATAGTGATGCTAAGTGTAAATGTTTGACAAGTGAACACAGAGTTTTCTCAAGTTTTTAAAATTAGCAAGTTTATATGAGGCAAAACTTTTCAAAAGAAATAAGAGAGAGAGAGAGAGAGAGAGAGAGAGAGAGTAATTGTTCTAGATATATCATCTGATCCAAAAGCAAGCTCTTATGGCAAGCTTAAGATTTATTTATTTATTTATTTATATTTATGTTTACAGGCATAGAAAAGATATTTGGAATGTTTACCAAATGATATTGCATTTACCACTTTGTTGCTATAATTTTTATTTAATTAAGTTATTTTAAAGTTATTTTGATGTTTTTTATATATCAAAGTTGTTGTTTAAGTTTGTTATTGATATACAATATTGTTTTAATTTCATTTTTTAACTTAAGTTATATATGTTAAAGTAAAGGTGTTTATCTTGGGTATGTTAAGCCTATTCAATCACAAAATGAGTTTAGAAAATCAATTTTGAATCTATATTGCATGAACATATATGTTGTTTTAAGTTGATATTTTTTTGATTTAGTACCTCATGCTTGAATTTGATGCTTTGACATTTTTTTTTGTTAGTTTGTTTTTATTCAAACATGTTTATATATGATATTGTGACTTGTTGGGATAAAATAACATATTTTAGTATAAAAAATGTCCATTTTTGTTTTTGGTAGAGGCTGCCTTAGCTAGAGATTTTCTTGGAAAGAACATTGTCTTATCCCCTGGATTTGGACCATGTTTAGTCAATTTATTTGCATAGAAACCTTTGTTATGTATGATTACTAGATAATTTGGTATTTATTTGCATCAATAATATGTTTTTGTTAGGTTTTGATCCTAGGGTTTCAGTTCTAAATCGAAACATATTTTGGTAAAAATTATGATGTTTTAATGATAATCAGAGTGAATGCATGCTTGATTATTAATCCTTGTATAATTTTCAACATGTATATGCCTTTGTTTTGATCAAATCTAGTTT